GGAAGGAAGGGGGGAAGAAGGGAGACAGACAGACAGACATCAATGTGAGAGAGACACGTGGATTGGTTGCCTCCCTTAGCATGCTGATCCAACCTTCCACCCAGGTAGGACAGTACCTGGGTTGCAGGTGCATGCCCTTGCCTGGGAATCGAACCGGAGACCCTTGGGGTGCTCAGGCTGACGCTCTAACTACTGAGCAACACCAGCCAGGCACACAACGAAATTCTTGATGATACAGCAGAGATATAAAAATCTCATTCAAAATTCCCTTACCTTGACCACCAAAAATCATCAACAGCTTTTTAATCATTCCACTCTGGATTCTCATCTTACTCATTAGAAAAAAAAAAAAAAAAAGCTTTATATCTCAAAATATGATATAGTCAAGCTGCAAGTTTGTGTTTTTTCAAACTGGTGAATATAGAGATACTCTCTGAAGCCTATTCTAATGTTCTGTCACACCTCCTCATGCACTGATTCATTTAGAAAACGTACTGGTCCCCCACGTCCCTCTTCAAGTCTTACTCTACAACAGTGGTGTAGTGAGCGTCTCGTTTCCCATGTGCTACTTGCTCAAAATACAATAAACTGGCACTATCAGGGAGAAGAAGATTTTTTCCCCAAATTATAAAAGAAAATTTATTTAGAAAGTCAGAGGTAGTAGAAGTGAGCCCGCTGGGCTTCCTAGTCTCAGGAAACAAGTTACAGAAGCAAAAGATGGGCCGTTTGAGCTTAGGAGAAAGAAAGGCAAAGGTAACAAGTCTGGGGGAAGGGCAAAAGGAAAGGCGCCTGGAAACAGTTTTTCAAATGTCACAACGGGAAATGCTAATGGGTAGAATGCTAAATGGAAATCCTGTGGGTAGAAGTCAGAGATGCAGCTAAACATCCTACAAAATGCACAGGACAGCTATATGCCCCCCAATTATCAACCTCAAAATCTCAAGCTGCTGAGGCTGAAAAAAAATCCTGCAACTCTCTCAACGACCAAAAGGCCTTGTAAAGAATTAAAAAAACTGTCATTCTTTACATTTCAGCCGTTGGCCACTTGGATTGACTGAGACCCACTTAACCACATTCTCTTTTGGATCCATACAGAATGGACCTTTTAGCATGACTTGGTAGTGATGGTACAGGATGCACTCCCCCCCCCCC